GAGGCCCTGGAGCTGTGGCCCTGGGTGAGTTCAATCCAATCACGAACCCTTAAAGCAGGCCTTCCTCAGGCTCCCACCAGATGCCGCAGAGCAGGCAGCTGGAGCTCGAGTTTCCATGAATGCAGTGAGCAGCCCCCAAGTCTTTTGTTCACGAGTGTAAGCCAGCACTGGGCCGGTAAGACCCATGGCGGGAAGGTTTCCTGAGCCACTGATGCCTGGATCCCAGCGGCAGCTTGTGCACCAGCTACCCCCCTCTGTGACCCCAAATCATCCCTTCTCTAGGGACTCACCCAAGGTCACGCAGTCACAGTAGGGATAGTGTTCAAAGCAGGAACCCATCGGCCTGCCAAATCCCCCCCTACTCCCCCCTCCACCGCCAGGATGGTTTGACTCTAATGAACAAAACCTAAGTGCGTGTCTGCAAGGATTTCCCGGGAGCCCAGAGCCGGGAGGGGGTTAGCGGGCAGTGTCCTCTGCTTCCTTCTGTGGCTTTTGATCTTGGTCCCTGGCTGCTACCCCGGTTCAGCGGCGCGGGGCGGCTCTGCTCGGGACCGGCCGGCAGGGGGCGCGAGCACCCAAGTGTGAAGCCCCCGCTCTCCCGGAGGCCGCTGAGTTCTGAGGGCCCTGTGGAACCCAGGCACTGCTCCCTTCCCGGCGTCGCGGGGTACCCCCTGGCCTCAGACCGGCCAGGCTGCAGGCTGCGCTGCAGGCTGCTGACCAGTGCCTCTGGCCGAAGGCCGCCACCCTCTGAGGGGCCAGTTTTGTGACTGCAGCTGTCCACTGGAGGAACTACGCCTCCGGCCATGGACCACTAAGTGAAGTCACAGGGGGACGGCTCTGCTGTCCCTGGCACAGGGCTGTTGGGCGAATTTGCATTCCTCTTCATGAGGAGGTCAGTGATTCTCGGAGGGCAGCCATCTCAGAAGCTGCCCAAACCACGTCTTTTTCTCTTTCCTCTTCTGACTCACTTGTGTCTCCTTTCCTTCAGCCTCTCACAGCTTTCCATTCTGAACAGCCCAGTGCTGGCAAGCCTCGGAGCAAGCCCTTGGAGGCTGGTTAGAAACCACCCCGAGTGCGGACTCAAAAGGCCTCTCCAGCCGGAAGGGGGCTCCTTCTCTGGAAAACGAGGGTACCCGCAAGCTCAAGAACCTGGCTGGGCTGTGCGTCCCCTCTGACTTCCTACCTGAAAGCCAGCCAGCTGCCAGCACTTGCTGGCAGACCTGTGTGCTGTACCCTGCCGGGGAGACAGGGAGGTACGACGCGGACAAACCGGGGACTGCCCTTGGGGCCGGAGGGCCGGAGCCAGGAGTGGCCAAGCCGCCGTCTCCCTAGTGCTAAGCAGGAGCGGCCCCTTGCAGGCGTCCCGGTGCAGGGCTCCGAGATGTCTGCCGGGTGTGGGTCGCTGTGGTGGAAAAGCACACTCCTCTTCAGCCTCGCCAGTGGCCAGTGTCCACTCCTGAGGCTTGGGGGCCCCAGAGCTTAGGGCCACACGGTTGCGGCTGAGACCCTTGGGATTAGCCCATGGACGTGCGCACTGTGTCTTCGAGGTTCTTTTCCTCTCGACCACTAAACCATACATAGCCCAGGAGACTAAACCCCAGCTACTTTGGGTGGTCTTTCCCGCCTCTTCCTGCTTCACCTGATGCATGAGGATTTTGCGGTAAAACTTCAGCTTTACAAGAACAGGCAACAGAAAGAATTAGGGAACTCAGCGATCCAAAACCAACCAAATGAGGGTTTTATTTTTTTTTTTCTAATGTAAAGCAGTTCCAAGAAAAGTGAAGTCACGGCCTCGGTTGCTTATTTTCAGTTCTTAGAAAAGAGCCAATTTCAAAAGGGAAGAGGCACTTTGCCTCAGCACACGCCCGCCAGCCTGGCAAGGGCTGTTTGCTGATAAACCGACTCTGATTTGGCACCAGAAAACTAAAACCCCCGCCTGAGGAGCGTTGGGTGATGTCAAAGAGGAAACGCCGGCCGAAACAGTGAGACTTATTAATATTCAGGGAAGCCGCAAGGCGGGCTAACATGCTGAGTGCACACCTCCAGCGCAGCTGGCGGCGGGGGCGCCTGAGAAAGCGGGCACCCTCCCCTGCCCACCTCCCAGATCCCGAGTCGCCACTGTCCGAGCAGCCGTATCAGCGCCATCGGCATCTTGCAATCGGGCATTACTTCCCCGAAGTGAGACAGAGACAGACGGGCAGGATATGGCGAGGTTTTCTGCAGCCAGACGCTGCTCTCACAGAGACAGGTTTCAGATAAGGGAGCCTTATCGGAAGGAGGGCGGGCTTCGGCTTCAAGGAGTTCACCACCCAGTTCCACGGCTACTTCTTGGGTACCCCGCCATCATTTTGGAATGAAGTTGTGTTTTTTTAAAGATTTTATTTAGGTTTGCATAGAACTGGGGTGTAGGCCAGAAGTGGGGGCGGGGTGAGGATTTGCCAGAGACAGAGTGGGGAGCAGACAGGTGATCCACTGAAATCCACTGCTGAGGGGAGCAGGGGGGAGACAGGAGGGGTCTGCTGGGCCCTGTGGGTCACCTCCCTGGCTGGGGATGGCACTCAGGCCTTTGCGGCGGGCCATTGCGGTGTAGTGTGGAACCTTAACCCCTAGGGCACCAGGAGGCCCTGGTGTGAAGTTTTTACAAGAATCCTCTAGCAAGAGAGCCCATGGAGGGCCCTCCCTGGGGCGCAACGGGTTAAAGCACAGCACTGCAAGCTGGCTGCAGCTGCTTCAGTGCAAGTTCAATCTCAGGCCAGGAGCTGACCTACAGGGCACCGCAGACCTCTCCGCCCGCTGCTCCCCTCAGCAGTGTACTTTGTGGGTCGGCCTGTTCTGCTCCCCACTCTCTCTGGTGAATCCCCTCACCCCCTGCACCTCTGGCCGTACCCCAGTTCTGTATACATAAATAAAAAAAAAATTTTTTTTTAAAGAGAGATCCCATGGAAAGCATCAAAATGAAATGCCAGTAATTAAAAACAACTGATAAGACAGTCCCAGCCAGGAGAAGCCTGTCTGGAGACAGGGTGACTGAATGTGGTTGGCTACCCTGGATGGGACCCTGGGACAGAGGGGACATTAGGGGGGAAAAGCTAAGGAAGTGGAGTCAGTATACACTTTGTTCATCAACCATCACGCTATTGCTTCATTGTTACCAATATGCCATACTAATTTTAAGATGTTAATAATAAAGCGACCTGAATGTGGGTATATTTGTACTCTTTGTACTGTCTTTGCCATTTTTCTGTTGCTGCAGAACGACTTGATAAATAATGTTTTTGAACAATTGAGGATGTCAGTAAAGCCGTGTTGTTCCCACCCGCACATGCACAGGTGATTTACACAGGCCATCACTTTATTCCTCACATCAGCGCACCGAGCTGGCGGTCCCAGACTCTGCCTTTCAGACCCGAGGAAACTAAAGCACAGGCCAGGTAACTTGCTCACAGTCACGGCACAAATAGGACACATGAAGGGCTCGTGAAGGCTCTGGCGCTGCAGAGCCCAGGTCGCTGCCCACAGCCCCCAAAGGCAGAACAGAAGGCAGCTGGAGACAAACGTCAAGTGGTCCGTAAGTGCAGATCAGAAATAGAAAGGCGCACGCAGTGTGCACGACCCAATTTGCCTCCAGGAGAAAATGCTGTAGACTAAAACCAGCAGATCCAAGCCACTGACAACACCAAACGCTGGCCAGGACGGGAGCAAGGGGCATGCTCGGCCGCAGTGGCCGATGGGAAAGCAAGATGGCGCAGCTGCTTGGGGCTGACCGTGCACCAGTACCGCCCCCCTCCCGCCCCCCCGTTAGGTTTCGTGCTGAAACCTAACGGCCTTAGGAGGTGGTCCCTTGGGAGGTGGTTAGCCCATGGGGGCGGGGGTCATGGTGGGATTAGTGCCCTGAGAAAGGGGCCTCCAAAGGCCCATGTGGAAATGCCATCTGTAGCCAGGAGTGTACTTTGAAGCTGCTGGCACCTTGACCTCAGACTTCCAGTTTCCAGAACCTCCGCGAAATGTTTGGTTGCTGTAACCCATGTGGACTGAGGCAGACAGTCTGGCCACTCCTTACACAGCTGAACATGTTACAGGCCAACCCACGGGGTAGCCTGTGAGCCCTCACCTGTGCGCACACAATCCAACTGCACACACACACACAGGCCCGTAATGGGTTTATTTACAAGGGAAAAGGGAAATGAATCACTCAGGGAGAGAGATAAGTTAATTAATGCATCCTACCAGTTCTGCTGAGCTGAAAGCCAGGGAAGAGGTAAGAGACAAGCCGTCAGCCATGAGGCCAAGACGCGAGCACAAGGCCAAGTGAGCCCCGAAGATGGTCAGGCTTCATCCCAACCTGGCTGCTCAGCCCACCCTCAGCCCCCAGGTGCTTCTCGCTGGTATTGATGGGATTTGTAGTTCCAGTATCTGGGGTGGGGGTGGGGTCCTTGAAACCTGTCTGTTAACACACATACTCACCAGCAGGCATTCACCCCAATAAGCTGAAAACTCATGTCCACACCTGTGTTTAATAGCAGCTCCAGCTGTAAGTGCCAGAAGCTGGACAAACATCTGTCCTTGACTAGGTGAGTGGGTAAACAGCCTCTGGTAGACATAGGCCATGAATGCTGTGAAAAAATAGAAACGAGTTATCCAATTACAAAAACACACGGGGAAGCCTTAAATGCACACTGCCGAGAGAAGCCAGCTGGAAAACGATACGGTGGTTCCCACCGGGCGTGGCATCCTGCAAAAGGCCAACTGTGGAGGCGGGAAAGATGGAGGGTGCGGGCGTGGGGGAGAGAGGGCGGTGGGGCAGCGGGAGGCGCTCCCGCCCCTTTGTGTAAACTCACAGGCTGCGTACAGCGCCCCGACAGCGGCCCTCAGACCTGGACTCGGCGCCTCACGGTAAGACGCCAGCCCTGGGGGAACCCGAGGGCGTGGCAGGGCGGCTGTACTCTCTTATTTCCTGTAAATTAAATAGTCTATTTGAAAAATAGAAACAGGCAGCCTATGTAATGATTTATTCGAAGCAGAACAGTCCAGCAAACGCGACAGCACGGTAGGACCAGCCCCGACTCCCCTGGCGGTTGCCATCTGTGGGAACGCAGGAGGCCGTCAGAAGCCGCGGCAGAAGCCTGACGCCCACTCACGTTCGTCACTCGCACCGAGCAGAAGTCTCACCCGAGAGGGTGCCCCCGCCCACGGCGGTCTCACCAACAGCCAGAGGTTGAGTGAAGCCAGCGCCTGAAAGTCGCGCTCAAGCTCGATTTTCATTTCAACACGGATTTGGAAAGTGTGTGACCGTCTGCAGGGGGGGTGGGGGCCGGCAGGGCGCCTCCCACGGGAGGCGGGGCCGTGACCACGGCTCCGGCGGCTGAAGCAATGGCTGCCGCTGACACGGTGGTGCCGCAGCTGGCGGAGGCCCCTCGCCCTGCAAACTGGACGCGGAGGCTGTGGGCCGAGCAGGTGCGGAGTGGAGGTCAATGCTTCCCCGCCCTTTGCTTTCCTGCCCTGGCCATGGGGTGGCCCTGGCTTGCCTGAGGCTCCAATCCGGCTACAACCTTAAAGTACCACGGCTGTCGGCTGGACAATGCGGCTTCAGACTCCTGTCCTAGCTGGCGAGAATCAACACACATAAACGAAACAAAAAAACAAGAGGGAGGAGGAGGAGCGAGAACAAAACATGTGCTTCCCATCTGCAGGCAGTCGGCAAAGCAAAGGGCAGCGAGGCCGAGCTAACCGAACTGCCCCGGCTGGAGAAGCCCGCCACGGCTCCTGGGTCAGCCCAGCAAAGCTCTGCTCTCGGCAAACTTCTGAGAAATATCCGCCGAGCAGCGTCCACGCGGGGCAAAGACCATCAGGCGCCGGCTGCTCCCGAGGGCGCCAGCGCGGCCTAGGGAGTGTTCCTGTGCAGATCCTCCACCTCCAGGCCCCACATGCTCTCGTGGACCGGGTTGTCGGACAGCTCCGTCATCTTCACGGCCTGCAGGCAGGGCTCAGGGCTGCATGCCTGGACCACCCCCATGACCATCACATACTTTCCTAGGGAAGAAGAGAAGCCGGTGAGGCGAACACCGAAGACCAGGGGCCAGGCCCTCAGGGGCGTCACTCTGTCTGAGGCAAAGTGGGTGGAAGAGAATGGCAGAGACCAGGTGCCAAAATGCTGTCCGCGAGCAGAGCCAATATACTGACCGTCAGCCCAACATGTAATTATTTATTTTTTAAGGATTTATTTTTATTTACTTATGCATACAAAAACTGGGGTGTAGGCCAGAGGTCTGAGTGGGGGCAGTGAGAGGATTCACCAGAGAGTGGGGAGGGCCCCCCGCCCTGCTGGCACAAGGAGTTAAAGCGCAGCACTGTGAAGCTGTCACCAGCCACTGCCGCGCGTGTTCAATCCTGGCCAGGGAGTGACCCACAGGGCGCAGACCTCTCCTGTCTCCCCACTGTCCCCTCAGCAGTGTATTGCAGCAGACCTCCCTGTTCTGCTCCCCACTCTGTCTCTGGTGACTCTTCTCACCCCCTGCACCTCTGCCTATACCCCAGCTCTTGTATGCATAAGCAAATAAAAATAAAACTTAAAAAAAAACCCCACAAGTGACCCTCACAGCGCAACTCTGCACAGGGAATGAGCGTCTCCTCAGAGTTGTAATTAGACTGTTCTAAGACAGAGACAGAAAACCCAGCCGTCCCTCGGTTTTCAGTCTTTGCTCAGTGCCAGACTGCGGCTGCGCTCTGCACGGGCCGTGTTCTCTTTCTGCAGACACCCCTAACAGCCCACGGCAAGCTCAGCGTGCCTTCGGCGAGGCCACAGAGCAGGCGGCAGTTCTCTCACCACTCACTGCTTGTTCCAGCTGCCCGGACCTACTCCCACTGTTTCCCGACCACCGCCCGCGCCAGGCACAGCAGGCGAACAGGAGGGCAGCTGCCATCACGAGCCTCTAATGACACATTCGCCGAGACGCCTTCCCATTCCCTGGAGGAAGTGGCTCTCCTTGAAAGCAAAACTTGGCCAGCCTTAACCACACAAACTCAACTGTGTAAAAAACCCCAAACACAGCAGGAAGGGCAGGCGCGCTGCCAGTGCCGTGGCGAGCCCCCACTTGCAGCTTCGGGACTGCGTCCCAGCCCACCTGACCCTGGGCCCTGAAGGAAGGACGCCAGGCCAGCTGTCATCTCTGGCTTTCCAGCCCTGCAGGGCGTCCTTGGGTTCCTCTGACTCCACCTCCAGATTCTACCGGAGCCAGTGACAGAGGCCAGTCCTGAACCCACCGCACCCACCGACTTGTCCTGAAGCACAGGGAGACATGAAGCCCGCAGAAAGAGAATGCCTGGAGACCCAGGAAAGGAAGAACAAGCCCAAGGAGACCCCAGCGAGGAGCCATGGACTCCGAGGAAGGCTGGCTGCCTGGGCTCTCTTCCCGTGAGACGGCTGCACCAGTCCTGTTGGCCGACCCAACCCTCAGCCGCACAGGCTGCCCCTCGGTTGTCTCCCCCCCTTCCCCCCGCCCCGCCCCTCCCTTCGGGCAGGCATGAGCTGGCCTGGGCCACATCCACATCGTGGCTTCCAGCGCCTTCTCTTCCCCTCTGCCCTCACCCTGTGGCAGCAAAGACCCGTTCAAATGCGGTTGCCGCCGACCAGGGGCAACCTCTCACTGCAGACCCAAGGGCAGGGAAGATTCTGACTCAATTCTGTACCTGCGGCACCTGCCACCCATGGAAACACGCTGCTGGATGTTCCAGAGAAGGGGGTGGGGTGGCACTGATGTGATGAGTCTGATTAAAGGTCACTTGGGGGGGGGGGAGCATTCCACAGCCAGCTTGGCAGGATGGAGCCCTCCCACCTTTCTCCGCTGCCCTACATTTTACCCCAGCTCTCCAAAGACCAGGTTGGCTCACCTTCCAGACTTTGCAACAGCGGTTTCAAGGTCCTAGCCATCTGTCAATGCATGCAGATACTGGGTGACCAGGCAGTCCCAGGGCTGCCTCAGTCCCTCAGGCAATGCTGAGGGTGGGCCCCTACGGAGAAAGCCACCCTCCTTCCAGGCCACCTCCTCCAGGAAGTCCTCTCTGCCTGCAGGCCTGGATCAGGAGTCCCTCCGCTTTGCCATGGCACCCAGTGCTCAAGTCTACACTATTTTTTTTTGTATTTTAGTAGCCTGCTTACTTTCCTGACTCACCTCCTCAAGGCAGTGAGTGACTGGGCTCAATCTATCAAAACTTGATATTATTAATGAGCAAAAGGAAATTAAAAAGTCCCTGCCGACCCTCCCTGGTGGCACAGTGGGTTGGAGTGCAGCACTATGAAGCTAGCCACAGCCACTTCAGCATGAGTTCGATCCCCAGCCCCGGAGGTGACCCACATGGCTCGGCAGACCTTTCCTGTCTCCCCACTCTTCATCATTGATCTGCCTGTTCTGCTCCCTACTCTGTCTGCTGAATTCCCTCACTGCCCCTGTACCTCTGGCCTGTACCGCAGTTCTGTATGTATAAATAAAATCTTTTTTAAAAAGTCCCTGCCTAAAACCCAAGGGGATTGCAACTGAGATGGAAAAATGCACAAAAATATGTAAAAATAAGCTTATATATATATATATATATATATATATATATATAAAGTCCCTGCCTACAAACATTCAGGACAGTAACTCAGTGCCCTACTGGTGCCAACCTAAGTCAGTAATGGGCCAGGCAGGAGTTTACCCCTGCCTGTCTCCAAGGAGCAGGCCTGGCAGCAAGACCCAAAGTGTAGGCATGATAGCTGGCAGTATTACAAAACACACCCAGTCTATTTTTAACAGACCAATCTTGTTTATAGCGAATTTTTTCCCCAGTATTTTAATAGCTATTTTATAGGAGACACTGGAAACCAGTATGTAAGTTTTAAATGACAGTCATACTGGCATAGAAAATGAAGTGACAAATATGTACCGTCTGATGTTTACTATTTGAAATTTCCTGTAATATATTCAGGTACTTTTTCGTCAAAATGGGAGTGATCAGATCATCCTTTCATGCATCTCACTTAGTAAATACATGAAAAAAAATAACAAGGCAAACTGTGTTTAAAAAGGGCCAGCGGGTCTCTGTCAAAACACTCAGGTCTGCAGCTGTGATGGGAACACAAGCCTAGGCATTACATAGACTGAACGTGTGCTAGGAAAACTTGACTGCTATTTGGATCTCATATGCTTTTCACATGTCAAGAAATCTTGTGACTTGTGCAACCATCTCAATTGTGAAAGGCAGTTTTAGTTTCTCTCTGGCCCCATGGAGAGAGGCAGTAACCTGCAGAGAGCTGGGGGTGGGCGTTGGCTCCCAGCAGAGGCAGACGCGAGAGTTTAAGGAGGCCAAACAGTGGGGTGGGGATACCCCAGTGGGGAACAGCAGTCTCTCACTGTAAGCAACCACAGCCACACCTCTTTCACTCCCGCGGTGGCCAGGAGCGGATCTCAGGCCATTTGCAAGCGTGCTGAATCCGCCCGGGGTGGGGGTGGGGGGTCAGGCAGGGGGGCTCAAGAGACAGGGCAGGAAGTGTCAGAAAAGAGCTCTGGGGTGAGCCCCAGCCCCTCCGGAAACCCCTTCCCGAAAGCAAGCGGGGGTGGGGCTTCCCGGGAAAGGTGCAGTAGGGTCTCGAGTTCGGGGTGAACGGACGTTTCCCAGCATCTCCCCATCGCGGCGGGCGCTGGCCCCCGGAATGCGCCTTCGAGCGCGGCAGGCGCCGTGATCGCTCGGGGAGGGGCAGGGGTTCGGGGCCGGCGGGGTCCAGCGGTT